ATTGATTCCTTGAAGACCTGCTCCATGATTTTTCCAGGGACTGAGGTGAGGCTGACTGGCCTGTAGTTCCCCGGATCCTCCTCCTTCCCTTTTTTGTCATTCTTCTCGAGAAGTTTTCCGCCCCCAAGGCAGAAGGAGGTGGGCAGTAAGTATAACAAACTGTTTGGTATTTGGACATAATTCCCAGCTCAGGTTTAACACACAGACTGCGTTTCCCATCGCTAACTGGCAGCAAAGAGCTCATCAACATTTAAAGCAGAGGCTTGCTAATGACAGCATGAGGCAGGTTTGCATGCCAAGACTGGCTAAGGTTCCTTGCCAAGGATTTTCTAAGAGAGAATTTCTCTAGGAAACTCCTTTAAAGGGAAGAAGTGACTTCTGCTGAACCAGGTTAGGAGGTGATTTGGACATCAAGGGCTTGATTTTTCATAGGCGTTGAGGGCACCAGTTAACTCAATGGGAGGTGTGAGTGCTCAGCCCCCTCTCAAAATCAGCCCCCACCTTTTTAATTGTCTAGCTGAGAAATAATGCAAAATACTCTGCGTTTTAAGATTTTTTTATGAAAAGACTGTAAAAAAAATTGAGGAAACTCAAACCATCCCCCCCCCCAAGAGTGCCCCCTAAATTCCGACTGGTTTTTCTCCAGCCCCTGTCACTGGGGTGTGAGCTCACCACTTTGTGCACAGGCTAGGAATGTGGGCCAGCACAAGGCCTGTGCACCACTTATATCCGGCAAACCAAACTTCAGTGGGACTTTTGCCTACGAGACCTTTCCTGGAACCTACCAGTGTTCATCTGCAAGTGACACAAATGGGAAGTCGGAGAATGGAGCATGGCAGCATTTTGACCTGGTTAGAAAGCCACGTATTTCACACACACATCTATTCCTCTCCGGCTTTACTACCGTTCCTTTGCCAGGTCGTGCAGCAGCACTAATGTCCAGGGTGGCAGAGGACACACGTGTGATAATTGGCTTTCGCAGTAATTAAATGCCTCAGTGTCTGCCTTTAATCAGCTGCCAGATCCATTTATTGCCTCATAGACTCCTTTGCCGTGAGCATTCCCGCTTCGTTAGTGGCTGAAATAGCGATGATTTTGCAGCATTTTTAGATGTCTATTGAAAGGCAGCAGTTTCAGTCCACCATGGACAAGATTCCGAGATACAAGTGCAGTCTGTTCTGCTCTGCAGTGGTTGGTGTTTACGCTGACTTGCCTTGCAGACGTTGCAATCAGTTCCTCGGGGGTGGGGGGTGGATGCAGCCCTGGAGAGGCAGTCAATGCCTTGGAAGCAATAGCAGAAACTCTGTGGTCCTGCAGAATTGACTTGAATTCATTGTCAGTGAAGCCCTATCGTTATCCCCACAACACATTATTACCTATCTGTATTCCCAGTGCATCTGGAAGCACCAGCCAGAGACCAAGACCTCCCTGCGCTCGGTGCTGTACAGCCGCAAGCAACAGCAGCAGCCATCTGAGCTTCCCCCAGACTGATCCATTTGCTACCACCCCAGGCTGAATCCAAACCCAGCCACGGAGAGGGGAGATGCTCCAAATCTAGATGAAAAAAGAACAGGAGGACTTGTGGCACCTTAGAGACTAACCAATTTATTTGAGCATAAGCTTTCGTGAGCTACAGCTCACTTCATCGGATGCATCCACTCATTGGGGCATGGATCCTCTTTTGGGGGCCGCTAGGGGCTACTTCCATAGTACTACTACTAATTCCACTGTCAAGCTATTATCCAGCTTCCTTGACATCTGTTTTCCCATGGGTGGTCTTTTCCCCTCTGTGAAACTTTAGGAGAAAGGCGAGAGAGCAGAGATGGCGTCGCCCTGCATTGCAACCTGCCAGGAATTGAGAGTGATGAGAAAGGGACAGAGAAGCTAAAATGCCCGACCACACCACGTCCAAGGCAGGCTGTCCCTGGCGCTGACAAACACTGAGGATACGCCTAGATGGCCCGCGGCAGGGAGCCTCCCAGCCCGGGTGGATACACCTGGGTTAGGAAGACTCAGCTAAGCGCTCTCACAGTAGATGTGTAAATGCCTCCAGCTCTGTAGCCAGGAAGGCTGTTTTTAGAGCACTGGTGTGAGCCCGGCAAGCCTTGTCTGTCTCTCACACTGGGTGGCTCTCTGCCGGAGGCTGCTACAGGGTTAGAGGTACCCAGAGAGGCCCTGGTCCTTTGTACTTTGGCCACCCACTCGTGGCGCTTGCCATGCCAGTCGAGTCCCACTGAAACAGCACGCTTTAGTGCGCTCAGAACTATGCAGCCTTCCGCCACGCGGAGAAGTCACACAACAAACAACGGCAGGGAGGCGGCAAACGGGAAGATCAACGGTTTCAAACTTGGGTGCTTGGAGCAAAGCAATGAGAGCCAGCCTGCGGCACCTGCGTTTCAGCCATGCCAACGGCGCTGCTGTTGCCTTCAGAGTATCCCAACCGCAACCCGGGAACAACGGCAAGACAAGCAGCTGCCCACCCGACGGCGCTCCGGAGGCGCGTGCAGACAACAGATCCCTGGAGCTTTTCCATCCGAGTTCAGAACAAATGCACCTCGCTAGAAAGGAAATCACAGGGCTGAGTCACTCTGGAACACAAGACGGTACTTGCAATCGGCTTCTAAGGATGCCAGATTTGAAGCCCTTTATTACCAAGCCAAAGCCCTTCAAGCTGTCACGCCCTGCCGGGGCAGCTGCAGAACTCCTCCTTTTCCAGAAGGAGACGCTGGCCTCTTCACAAAGCCTTCTAGGAAGGCGGGGGGCGCTGGCGTCTCCTTCCATGGCTGAGACACCCGCAGACTGGAAATGCAAAACCAGCTCAAGCAGCTCTGCCTCTTTCGCTTAACTCAGAGAAAGTTCAGCGGTGAGCTGCTCACGGTCTACATGCATGCAGGAGGAGGTATCTGACGGGACGGCGGGCGACTCTTAACCTAGCAGGAAAAGGTATCAAAAGATCAGTTACCCGGAACCTAGCCAAACTCAGGCCAGAAGTGGATGCACCATTTATATACCATTGGGACTTACGTGGTAGATTCTCCATCCCCGGGTGTGGTTAAATCAAGATAAGGTGCCTGATTCTCAAAAAACAAGCTTAGCTCAACCAGAAGTTCTGGGCTTGAGGCAGGAATCACTGGGTGAGGTTCTGGCCTGTGCTATCCAGGTTGTCAGACTAGGTGACCATAATGGGCCCTTCTGGCCTTAAATGTGTTAATAAAATATTGACAGGACGCTTTAGAGGCAGGGCAAGGACTGTTGGCCCCTGCCTCCTGCCCTGCGCTTGGCTTATGTTCACAGTGCCCTTCCCTCACCATACCCCGCCTGCTCTACGCTCACATCTGAGCATCTCTTAACCTTGGCTTGGATTTCAAAGGAGCCGAAGGAGTTCAAAGGGGGCTGGATGCCCAAATCCTGCTGTATTTTAACTCGAGTTGGGTGACTCGTTCCCCTGGATTCCTCTGGAAATCCCAGCCTTCTCGGTAAACTGCATGCTCGACCTCACCCCCAGTCCCTCTTACATAACTGCGCTACCCTCCTTCTCACCATCCTGCAGCCCCCCTCCCCCCCCGGCATGCTCGCTGCCTGTTTACTGGTCGACTCACTGGCATTCTGCCGGCCACCCGCTCCTCTGCCAACAGGAGAGCCCTCTGGCCGCTGGGGGAGCTGCCGCGGAGCATGAACTGATGTCCAACCCACCAGGATTTCTGCATGGGTGACGTCCAACCCACTAGGATTCTCAACACACCTCCCATGCACACATAGGGATGGCGCTATTGGTATGAACGCATACGGCTCTCAGAGCTCCCTCTTTAACAGGGAAAGAGGGATCATTAATTTGGGGGGAGGGCAGACTGATATGTCCTCCCTCGCTTTCCTGCCATCAGCTCTTGCGCATGGTCGGTATGTCCCTCCCACGGTGGGTCCAGCAGGCAGCGTTGCTAACTCACGATTCTATTGTGTCTTGCAATAGTTGGGGTTTGATTTTAAGCCCCAGCTTTTGGATTCATGTGATTATAGGAGAATCTTTGTCATTTTTTTTTTTTTTACAGTAGCTTTCATGACGAGAGAGAAAACCCTGGATGTCAATTAAGACAACAAAAGTTGTTTGTTTTTTTACATCTCGGGATTTTGAACGCCAAGTTCTCATGAGTTTTGGGGGCCTGCCTCCTGATTTTGGAGCATCTGGCCGTGGCAATATTGAGCAGGGAACAGCCCAAGTGACATACGTCAGTGACAATCGTGAAGGCATCCAATGAAGAGGTTTACATTCCACACTTGTGTCTTCCCCCCACAGAATGGGATAAGCCCTGCCCTTGTGTTCCCCTCTGCAGCAGGCTGCTTGGTTCCATTGCATCAGATCACAGTTCAGTCCAGAAAGTACTCGTAGGTAGGGCATTATGTTCTTAGCCTCACCCCCCTATAAACCGCACACTGCCTGCACCTGCCGATTACCTCCGGGCTCAGGAATGGAGTGCTTTCCAAACCAAAGGCTCAGGTTTATGATGTTCATGTAATGGCCGACACAAGCGTTGTGTGGTCATAGAATCATAGAATATAAGGGTTGGAAGGGACCCCAGAAGGTCATCTAGTCCAACCCCCTGCTCGAAGCAGGACCAATTCCCAGTTAAATCATCCCAGCCAGGGCTTTGTCAAGCCTGACCTTAAAAACCTCTAAGGAAGGAGATTCTACCACCTCCCTAGGTAACGCATTCCAGTGTTTCACCACCCTCTTAGTGAAAAAGTTTTTCCTAATATCCAATCTAAACCTCCCCCACTGCAACTTGATGTCTCTGTTGTTGGGTCTCTCTCCCAACATCCTTCAAGCATCCTTGCTCTAGCAGACACTGGTTTTGAGCACCTTTTCCCAGCAGCTCGGGAAGGCTACTGGTGAAAGGATGTGGCTCAGAGAGAAAGAGAAACGAGACACAATTGCAGGGGAAGGCTGAAAGAAAGCAAACACCATTTGACTTGGAAAAAAAATTTCACACGCTAGCAAACAAAAATGAAATTTATAAGGAGTTTATTGGATTGGTAAAATGTAATACAAAGCATTTGTGATTCTTCTTCTGCAAAGAAAAAAGGCATCTGGCCATTTTGCATATTTTTTTCTCCTTACAAAACATTAGAAAAGCATAACTGATAAAATAAGGATAACAACCGAAAGAGCACAGCAAAGAGGAAAATAAATCTCAATATAATTGGATAAAGCATAATACAAATATAGAAAACACGTGCTTACACCAGCTTTCATTTTCTTACTGTAAAAAGTCATTTTAGGTGTTGAATGAAAAATATATGCCGGTTGCTCTGAAAATTGCGGTTCAGAAGAGGTAACTAGCTGAGAACAAAAAAAAAATCTCTCTCTATATTTATAAATATAGAAACTGTGTATATGCTGGACCTGGTCTCAGAATACATTTGAATAAAACGATTTTTAATCCATGCACACACGTTACCAGATAGTAAACTTCATATATCACCTTACAGGCTAGTCTTGCTAGTTGCTGAGTGCGTGTCCTGAGTGCTCTCAAATTCCTGTGAAAACAGCCAGTGAAACAGACATGAGGCATGATCAGTTTCAAGGGAAGCTGAGGGCACACAGCACCTCCCAGGAGGTGCTCTTAGCAGTCTGCAGGATTGGCTCTTTACAGATTTGAAGAGTTCCAATCCTGATTCCACTGAAGTCAATGGCAAAACTCCCACTGCTCTCAATGGTACCAAGATTAGGCCCCTAGTTGATTAGATGCTAAGTAGTGGTCGTGCTCAGCAAATGGTAAATCACTGGTACCCAGTGGCACTGAGGAATAAGGCACCAATCCTGAAAGCTCAACTTGCATTACTTCATTAGGATTTGAAGGCATGGCATTTCTAGCAAGGAGGCGCCTCTTTGGATCAGGCACTATCTCCTCTCCCGCCTCTCTGCTGCCTGGTGTTAGTAAGCTAGCGATCCACATTTAAAGCCAAGGAGCTGTCCTCGCTGCTAACAACCTCCACCTGCCCCGCACAGAACGTCCGGAGGATGTAAAACCACCACCACAAGTCACAGTCTTCTCCCAACGGTAATAGACCTTGCACAGAAATTCACTATAAACGACCTCACGCCAAAGAGCTAACTTCATCGAAGGGCCCCGATGCAGAATGCTGCCGTTAGCAGGGCTGGGCTGAGGCACGGCAGCTCTGTAGGGTGAATACATCCTTGGGTGCACACTCCTCCTTGCAATGTGCAACAGCCATTGAGGTCTGCAAGCTCTGGGAAAATGTCCTGGGACTTAAGAAATGGCATCTGGCCAAGAAGAGGCCTTTCTTTGGAATGGCACCCACTGTGATTGGGATCCCCCTGGGGCACCTGCCTACGATTAAAGCCAGCCAGCCAGCCTCCGCTGTTTATTCTGAGCGGAGATAGACCTGAATCAATATTCCAGCTATAGCCTCGACCCAACCCACTTCTTGAAACCCTTGGAAAATTTGGATCTGGACCCAACATGTGAAGCTGGTTCCTCTCTGCTACAATGGGCTGAAACAGAACCCCAGCTATGAACACCCTGGGACTGACGAAAGTTGGATTTTGATCCAAAATGTGTCTCCTGGGCTTATCTCTGGTATGAGTGGCTGGAAGCACATAGAGGAGGCCAGCTCCAGGTGCTATGTATGTGTGCAGGGTGTTAGTGACATTGGAACTGTAGGGATGGTATGTCTGGGTAGCTAGTACAACATGTGTCCAATCGGCAGCTGAGCCACCGGGGGTCTCACGATGTGGGGCACAGGGGCGTTTGTTGTTAGGATGTAGGAGAAGTGCTTTGGAGATGGATAAACTAGTGCAGAGAGGATTCAAGTCCACCTCTGACCCGGACTTGTTTGGATAAACAAGTGGCCTGCTTCTGAAATTCCTCCTCTGGCAAGTTGCCCCATTAAAGTCAGTGGGATTACCCACAATGCAAGGGCTAGGGCAATTTGGGGAGCTGTGAGGCACTGAAGAGTTCAGCAATGTTACCCACAGAGCTGTGTCCTGACTTATACACCCTGCCCATCTAAACACAGCAGGACTGATTCTGATCTCACTTACACAGGAAGTCTGGAGGGTTATACCAGGGTAGGACCAGGTCAGGTGAGGTCACAGTGAGGCCTCACTTCTGTACATGCCTTTACCTTCACACCTCGATTTCCAGAGGGACAGCAAAAGAGATGGGGGTGCTAGAGCATTAGGTGTTAGAACACTTCAAACCTCCATTTTGCTGTCTCTTTGGACAAACATTACTCATAAGAACGGCCAGACTGGGTCAGACCACTGGTCCAGCTAGCCCCGTATCTTGTCTTCCGACAGCGGCCAGTGCCAGGTGCCCCAGAGGGAATGAACAGAACAGGGAATCATCAAGTGATCCAGCTTCTGGCTAGGGGCACCATCCCAGCCTATCCCAGATAATACCCATTGATGGACCTATACTCCATGAACTTATCTAGTTCCTTTTTGAACCCTGTTATCGTCTTGGTCTGCACTCCCTCCCCAGTACACAGCAGGGGGAACCACTCCATCAAACGGCACTTGGCGATATTTTCAGGACTGAGTGTGAGAACACACTGAGCACCTGGTGTGGCTTAGCTGGCACTGGGCATCTTGATTCTCCCACCACAGCACCGAGCCTCCTCTGGCATCTGTGGATTTTACCCTCCAGTGTTATGCAAGGAATAAGAACACATGAAACACAGGCAGCTTACAATCAAATAAATAAATCCCCAAACATATCCCCCCAAAGTGCTTAATATTCTTAGATCTTACTGACCATGCAAACTTTCCAGCAGGTTTCCCTACACATTGCTGGCTCTCTAACCCCCATAACTTTGGCGTGTAGGCAAAGTAGAACCCCTTAAATTAACCACTACCAGAGAGTCAACAATGCTGGAGCTTTGAAACGTATTACTATCCAGAAGGCAGATCTACAAGGTGACATACAAGGGACGAGCCGCTGCTTTGGTTCACTTTAATGAAGAGCTGATCTTTGACACTCCCGTCTTGCTTCCATTTGGTATCATTTTGATCGTTCTTATCATTGCTCTGCACTTTGATTAGTTCCCTGTTTTGCCCGTGGATAAGGTCGAATGAGTTGTGGCTCTTAGAATAGGCACTTTGTACAGAGAGTAAAATATACGGGGAATGTTCCTAAAACCCACCATATATAGTAGTAAGCAACATGTTGCTTGTGCTCTTTAGATGCTTAGCTACTATGGCAATAGGCAAATTAGAAATATCACTGATTGGACAGACATAGCTCTGTGATCTGTCTGTTTCACAGGACGCGTCTCTCTATGCTAAACCAGAAGGGGTTTCCTGCCAATCCAGATGTGTCGAGAAGGCACAATCCAGATCTGTCAAAAACCCCCCACAGTGCCACCATTTTACATGGGGATAAACTCAGTATATTAAACAATGAACCAAACCCTCCAACTGCGTGTTTCAGAGTAAACCAATCACAGTTTATACCATCTTGCCATCCTCAGGAATATTAGCACCAGCAAGGCGGTCTGCTCTCAAATCCTAATCATTGCACGTATTCCCATAGCTAGCAGTAGAGAGAAACCCTGTTTCTAGCAAAAACCATTGTGCTACTAAGATCTTACATAAAAATAGAAATAAAATAAAAAAATTGACCAGAAAAAGCGCTAGAAAATATACTATAGGGAATGGATTGTGCACGGAGTGTGAGATGGACTAATTTAGCTAATCGTCTTCTCCATCTTCTACGTCTATGCTGCACATATGTAAAAAGAAGGACAAACTCCAGCTGAAGTGAAACAATATTCGAATAGGAGTTATTTGACTTTGTCTCTAGTTTATGGAATGTTTCAGTTGATATTTTTCTCATTCTTGGTTTGATCAACAACCACTAAAACAATAATAATAATAATAATGAAAAATTCAAAAAGCTACAGACAACATCCTTCCTTCTTTCTCTTTGAAATGTGACCTGTTTCCCAAACAAAAATGCACCACCCACCTATAATTCGTATTTGGAAAATTCCCTATCTGTGACTAGGAAACTAGACTGATCTGATGGTACCTTCTATACCTTGAAATCTATGACACTGTAACTTATTGCTTCTCATGGCAGGGACTGTCTATGACTCTGTGTTTATACGATGCCCAGCACACTGGGGGCCCCGTTCTCAGCTGGCCCCTCTGCATGATCTAAATACAATTCACAATAATGAAGGAATTTAAAAGTACATGGGGGCCTGCTTTTCAGAAGTGCTGTACACATGAAGCTCCTCTGGGTTGAAATTAGGGGGATCTGCAGCAGCACCTGTGAAAATCAGGCCAATTATAACATTTAGTTTCTGCCATGTGTATTTTTTTGTTTTGTTTTGCACTTCGCTCTTCTTGGCCAGTTTCACATGTGGACAGCACATCGTTGAGTTGGGGCGTCCAACACTTCAGGGGAAAGTTTAAGTCTTGGCATTTTTTAATCATGGAACCGTTCCTATGCACTTTGTTTACCCCTCTGACCTTTTAAAACATAGAATCAAACTGGGGCGGAGGGGTCCTAAAACAAGCTGATCCTTACTTTGGGGAAATTACCAGGAAACTGGCATTGCTCAATTTAATTCGTTAGATAATACAAAGTGGATGATTATGTTATTTGGATTATAGTAGCCCCTGCTGTACTAGGCACTGTACAGACACAGTGAACAGCAGTCTCTGCACTGAAGAATTTACAATCTAAACAGAGAAGATATGGGAACATAAACCCAGGCACACAGAGTTGCAGTGATTTTCCGGCAGTCACACAATATATATTGCCCCATCCACTAGAGCAGCGGTTTCAACCTGTGATCCATGGACCCCATGGGGGTCCGCAGACTTTGTCTAAGATTTCCAAAGGGGTCCGCACCTCCATTCATAATTTTTTTGGGGGGGGGGTCCGCAAATGACAAAAGATTGAAAGCCACTGCACTGGAATCTAGCCCACAATACTACTTGTATGATCTCTGACACATCTGCAAACTCGTCCAAAGAAACCGGCAAGTATGAACTCAATCCTCGCTATGCCCTGTTCTCAAAATACTTTTAAAAAAAATCTTGACAATAGTAGCTGGTCAGATTTAATCCGTGTCTCCCCAAAGAGAGAGTGTGGGGAAGACGGCCATTATAACATCCCACTGTGTGAAGCAACGCAGGCATCCTGCATAATGGCAACACAATGCACTAATAATACAGCCCAAGAATAGCTTCCTAGCCTTCTTGTCCCCTGACAGTTAGAAACATAAAGAGAAAAAGAATGTAGGCTGCAGAGATAAATAGTTAAGTCTCCACCCCCACCTCAAATTGCTTTGGCATATTTTAAGAGATAAATGGCTCCATGAGAAATTTAAATAGCTTTCTCTTTTCTTTTTTGGCAGCTGCAGAAATTGGGTCAGGTGTAGAAATTATTAATTTCCAAGCCAGAAAAACCCAAGTGTTTGAAAGTAAGACCCCTCCCCCTCCCCCTTTTAGGTATCGACTTTCTTAGAAGTAGTGTTACAAAAATTCTTTGTGCAAAGTCAGACAAAAAAAATTAAAGAAAGAATAGTGCTTGCAGGAGAAAAGGGAGGGTTTGCATATCTTTCGTTCTATATGCATTAAAATATCCTGGTTTGGTTGCTTTTTTTTTTTTTGCATAGATTTTTATGCTTGTACAGTACTTTTTATCCTTACTGAGCAAACACAGCTAGGCTATGACATAACAGAAAAAAACAGGGTTCATTCTTCTTTAGTTCCACCCCCATTCCCAAACTCTAGTCCAGTTCCTGAAGAGCTGGGCGTTTTTTGCCAAAATGATCAGCAGCGAATTTTGCAACTATGTTAGCATCCACTTGGTCATCATTAGGTTTCTGGGTTAACATCCTATTGAGACGAATGGGGGCGTGGGAGTTCAAAACTCTCAGAGATACCGATCCTGATCTCACACCACTTTTACACTGCTACAACTCCACCAAAGTTACTCCTGATTTTCCTGAACGGAATCAGGACTTCGATTTCAACTTGCCTGCATGACTCAGGAAGACAGCCTCCTCTTGAGACCATATTTGGAAGGATATCTTTGCAACCATATGGGCTAGACATTTAATTGAAAAACAAAATGAAGGTTCAGATCCGACAGATGCTGCTGCCATCAGAGAAATGATGGTATGTAAACTCCCTCACTGGAAAGTACACTAGCTGAGACCTGAAAAAGATTCAAATTTCCATTCCTACAAACATTCCAAGAGTTTGAAACATATAGTGGGCATACTGTCGACAGCCCCTATGCATGGTAGGTAAAGCTTTTCTCTGTTACGTGTGTACTCCGTTCCAAGCTTCAAATCCTGCAGACATAGGAGGAAGATAACTCCTTTATCTATAGTCACTGCATCTCCACGGGCAACACAACTCTTGCTGTTCCTTCTTTCTGATCAATCCAAGTTTAAACAGAGGCAAACATATGAATCTGAATAGAGTGGCAATGCCTAGAAAGTCATAACATCTGTTGATAAGATCAGAATTCAGACTGCAATTACAGGCCCTGCTACTTATTAAATAGAGAGCTCTTGGTGGAAATGTCCTGGTGTGATTAATGCAAGTGAAATAGAATATTTCTGCAATCACTTTCCCAGATTCTGTAGTGGGGCCCGATCCTGTCACTCTTACACAAATATCACCACCAAAGTCAGTGGAACTACTCATGTGAGTAAAGGCTGCAGGATCAGGTCCTGGAAGATTAAATTGCTGATAAAGAAAAATTATTTCAAAAGAATAAAAACAGAGTGAATTTTTTGAACCATTATGCTCTGGGTCAGACTCTCATCTCAGGCTAGAAAAATCTACATCGGCACTAGGCATGGGAAAATCATCAAACCCTCTTCTTATTTCTATGATTCTATTGCCACTACTCGATTAACTATCAACTTCATCTAACACAAGCTTAGATATCAATAAAGCGCAATCTGGGTGAAGTCTCATGTTTTCATAAGCCACAGCCCTTATGGAGAGGTCCTGAAGAATTTAACTAAAAAAATTACAATGTTTCTATTGGTTTTTTTGGAAGCCACCTAGGGAAGTGATTAAAGGATTTTATCCCTGCTATCAATTTCTATAGAATGGTTCAAACAAATCAGTTGATAGAGTTTCATAGAGAATAACGTCCTCTGGGTCAGATCCCCCACTGGTGTAAACTACCATATTTACATGTGATTGCATATTGCATATATGCAAACTACCATATTTACACCAATGAGGGAATCTGCCCCATAAACTTTTAGAGTAATTCCTTCAGCATGATAGCAAATTTATGCAGAACCCTGTTAGTTCCAATCTACTCAAACAAGGGCCAACATGAGAACCCTGGTGCTGCATGTAGCATGTGTCCAAAGACCTGCTGTGCTCCTGGGACATGCCCGGTGTGCACTCGAGGGGAAGGCAGACTGGAATAACTAACAGCACAGTGGAATGGCTAAGTGTTTGCAGACTCTACCTGACCCTCACCTAAAGTGGCCGGCAGTTTTCCTATAGAGACGGGAAACAGGGCTTCCCTGGAAACATTTCTGCTGACAGCTTTCATCTTGCCCCTTGCAATCCAGCAGAAGAGGGACGTTTGAGTGAAGCAAAATCTCCTCTGGCATATTTAAGGGTGAACTGAAGGGAGCTTTGTTCCAACATCCTGGAACAGAATGTGCTTGCCCTGTCCCTGCTGACGGCAACATTAACACATAAAAGCCACAGGCCTGAGTTTCCTCTCATGCCAGTTTCACAGCAGTGCCTCCACACTGGAGTTACTCCTGATTCACTGGATACCCTGATGAGCAGGGCAGGCTCTTTGGACATGCACTATGATGCAAGCGAGGTCCGATTCAGGCCCTACATGCCACACTGTCATGATGGGGACAATAAAGGGGTTGGAATTCAGTGGGAATTCGGTGCTCCTAACTCCCCTAGGATCTTGTGAAAATCCCACCCGCTGGACTCAATCGCAGAGGAAATCAGGAGCCACTCCATCACAGGCACTATGGTTAGAACTGGCATGGGATAAGAGCCAGGGCCCTTTATTTCCAAATGGTTCTGTTAAATGGGAACGAAAAAAGCTTTAGAACAAGCCCAGCCGAGCCACAAGCCCCCAATGCTTGCTTAAAAAAGAAACAATATAGTCCATGTGTACCGAGAGATATTTTATGCAGATTTTTTTACTTTTGAATATTTAAAACATGGTGAATATTAACTTCAGAGGTTCTTAATATGTTCCAAAGCCCCATGGGCCTTTGAAATGCTCACATCAATATGCAACATCTAATCTCGTCAAGAAAAACCAAGCTCTTCAACATAGCCACACAGAGGTTACAGAAAGAATCCTCGGGAAAATAACTGCCAGCCTTTTGTGCAATATACAGGCTAAATATACAGCCTAGTTGGGAAAGTTTCACGTTTTGCAAGGGAGAGGAAAGCTAGTGTAAGTGCATTGCTGTGGGAAAACAGCATATCTTGTGGCTCTGCACACTATACCAGTTACACGCACTCTCAGGATGCCCTCTCGCAGCCAAGCAGACGGTGCACCACCTAGAGATGCGTTCGTGTCCAGAGCACGGTGGTTAAACGGCTCTGCTTCTTTATAAAGTTTAGTGTTTCCTATTGCTCGCATCTGACCTTCAGCAGAAAGAAGAGCTCAGTTAAACTGTGTAAATACGGCCCAAGTGGGAGCAGGGGAAGGCAGCCAAAACTGCTGCATCAGCTTTGCAGTGCTGCAGTCTTTTAGGAGCAATGAGATGGACTGGATAATAGGTCAAATGTACTGTCGGCTGCAGGCAGGATCCTAACACACAATGACACCCAGATTCGCAGGGAAAATACTGCAGCCTGGAACCACCAAATTACTGCACATCAAGTGCCATTTTTGTTCCTCCTGAGGAAACCCTAAGTCTGTAATTTGACATTTAAAAACCCAAACCAACAGGATTTCAGCTGGCAAAAGATTCTTGCTGCGCAATGGAACTAGGCTACACTGAGTATTTCCCTTTATAATCTGCCTTAACGCTTGTGTCAAGCTACAACAGCAAAGATATGGGAAACCTGTAACTTCATTCCTGCAGTGACAGTTAGACTGAACGTGTAGCAAAGAGCAGCAACACTTTCCGAACAACCCAAAATTTGGTTGATTAAAAAAAATGCCTGCTAACTTTAGGAAAACAATCTCATTGGTTGGCATGTATTTAAAGAGATGTCATTATGCATAAAATGACAGAGTGGCATCTCCCTAAAAGAACACAAAACAGATGAAAGTGCTACATACAAGACAAATGTGCATTTTGGCTGCCCCTTTCATGCCAAAATAAAATTGGAGGAGAAAAAATAAAAGAAGAGAACCCCTCAATAACCTCATTTTCTGGAAAAAGTATTAAAAAATCTAGCCTTTCAAACAAATCACTGATTGGATTCACCAACATAAGGCCTGGAATTATTGCTCTAAATTACATGGTTAGATCTGACTGAAAATTTAAGGCACAATTTGACAATCATTTTAAAAGCAACAATTATAATCATTTCCTTTTATTCTCATGTGGCAGGCATATGCATGGCACTCCTGCCACTAATGCTATGGATGCAGATAGCTACTTTGATTAAAGAGCTCAAAAAGTTTTACATTTTTTAAGTAACTCTCACAACACCCCTGTGAGGTAGGTAATATATAGTCCCCATTACAGAGATGTATAAACTGGGGCAGAGAGAGAAACAGGCTATGTGACTTGTCTCAGGTGACAAAGGGAGAAAGAGGTAGAGATGCAAACAGAACCCAGGAGTTCTGATTCCCAGGACTGGACTCTAAAGACTGGAAAATGTAAAGAGGATATCACCATTTTGAGTTTGGGCTTTTTTTTTTTTTTTTTTTTTAGATTTAGGAATAATCAGGAAGACACACAAACAACAAAAAGAACATTTCAGATTAGCCCTGTTAGCATAGCTGAAAAAAAATCAATGGGGCGGTCGGTTATACATGGTTTAATGCCAAAAAGATTGAGAACGCAGCAGCACAGAAATGAAGACAGGACAAGTATAATGAAAACTGCACTGGTTACCTACTCTTGCCTGTACCTTTAATTAGTCATAGTCTCAGGACAATCTAAAATGTGTATATTATTTTTATATATGTAGTTCCAAACTATTCTACTGCGTTTTCAATAGTTAGTGTCTCTAAAAACAAAGCTGAGAACTTCGGCATTCACCACGAACCCTAGATTACTGTGGACTCCCCAATGGAGTTGGGTTGACTCACAGATGGCTTCAGGAGAGGTGCAGTATTGTCAGTCACATTTCATTTACAGTGCGCAAGGGCTCTAGCATCAAGACAGCCAACCAACTGTTTCAACTGAAAACTTGAAATGCCAAGGAGGAACAGCAATCTTTCTGGAAATGTATATGGAAAACAGCCTTTCCCAAGCCCAAAGGAATGGTGCTAGGGTGTGAGGTTCAACCAGAGTTTATCTTGGTGAGCATAATCTACCCACCACCTTCAGTACTTGAAACAAAGGACAACTGACACGGTCATCATCTTCCTAACCAGCCTGGGCTTGGTTTGAAGGGAGAAGACAAAAACTGAGTCCAACAGAAGTAACACTGTTATTCCCAGAAAAGTCACATTATTTGGATTTTTAGTAACTAGGAAAATGGTGTCTGCACAGGAAGTAGAGCGAATCAGAAAACGAGAGATTGTGAAAAATTTCAAAATGTGCTTGTTTCATAACATCCAGAACAGATCCATTTTCCACAAACATTTTTGTGACATTTTTACAGGATTCTTTTACCATACAGTTTTTGAAATCGTTACCGAAAACTTTTGTTTATTAAAAATGGTTTTGAGTAAGAAAACTTCATTTTTGGTAAATGAAAAACTGAGAACCATTTCAAAAACTATGAGGATAAAAATGTCAACAACATGTTGATTAAACTATTAATAACAACTGTTGTGAAAGATATTGTGAGAACAGAAAATAGACAATTTCCCCCAAAAAGTATTGAAGAAAAAAGGTCAATTTTTCAACAAAATAGAAATTTAGTGTAAAACATTTTGACCAGCTTTAACAGAAGTAATGCTCTCAGAGTCCTTATATCAATTCACGCTTTACTAACTTCTATGTGGCCTTAGGTAGCCCTCTCTCTCTCTTTGCAGTAGATCCTCAAACAAATATCAACATGCAACTAGTGTTTCCCATGTAGAATTTCACCACCCAAATCCACAGCACACATCCTTATGCGTCAACCCTGATTTATAGTGTTGATATCTATATAAAGCGTGATCAGCACTACTTGAAGAACTAATATCAAATCAGCCCACGGAATCAAACACAGGAACCAGACATTAATAAAAGGCAAGTAGAAAACCAAAAAAAACCCCCTTTGAGCTGTTCAGTTTCTAGACAAAAAAAGGGGAAATCACAGAATTTTATGTTCTAAACAGGAGTAAAGCAAAGTGACAAGATTTCCCTCTCTTTCCCTCCCTCCCCCATGGATCTTGATGATGGGATTTTCTGGGTTGGAGGCTTAGGGCACAAAATATGTGTTACTAGACTGGATTTAATTGGTGATTGTGTGCACCGGTCTCCACACACAATATCTATATCGAGAACTCTTTTATGCTTGTAGGTTGTGTAATTCACCCCCGGATAATGAGCTAACCCAAGGCCTATGTCACACTTAATTCCTGCTTCTGCCCAAAGGGTCTGATGTACGTGTGTAGAGCTCACCTGGGCACACGTTTCACTTCCCCCATGTCTCTAGGACTAAGTCATTCCCCAAGTGTTTTGAGCTGTGATAAAAATCTACCAATTATTTTTAAAAAATCATAATGAAAGGTGCATTATCTAAAGCTGTGATGTTGTCTTCTGCTTTAAAAGGCAACATTCAGGCAACAATTAAAATAAAACAATAAATGTCAATAAAGCAAATTACATTAACAAAATACGATCATTAACTTTGATGATGTCACTAGGGATTTGGCTGTAACCAAGGCAACCAAATCTGATGTAGTAAATTCAAGCATCTGTTTATGTCCCATTGAGGAATGGATTTAAGCATGTGCTGAATATTAAGTACATGTTTAAATACTTTCCAGAACCAAGGCTTAAACAAGGGCTTGTTCCTGAACCCCAAACTCCCAACGAGGTGACCTGAAACACAGGATCAAGCCCTAATTTCACACAAATGCTAGAAAAGCCAAAGAACTACCAGCAAAAAATTGGCAGATTGAAATAGAAAGGTCTAGGTGATCTTCATATTCCTTGTCAAAGGAAAATTGCTGAATGTCAATGCGTCAGCAAACAACGCGAGTATTTATCGTGACTTCAGAAGTGTACCTTAAAAGAACAAGGTCTCTTTGGTAAAAAAAGGGTTCTTCTTTGGAATAGATAAATGAGGATATGTAATAAATACATGATAAAGATTGTGGCTAAGCAATATTTTGTTGGTGCTTTAGGGCAATGCCATGATTAAAGATCCATCAGCACTTCCACTTTAAACCCTCGAGTATCGGGGCTGAAAATTTGACAGGCAGATGGGTCATGACAGAGACTGCGTGTGAGTGTGAGTGTGTATCTTCCAAAATATACTTATATCAGTTTAGGCACCACATACGAACACATTTTTTAGAAAATACTCCAGGCACTTATTCACTCACTCCAATGGGCAACTGGCTTTGATTATTTTAGGGGGAAAGAAACAAATTAAAACAATAGTATTATTCCGATATTTCAAGCCTGAAAATTAGCTACTGTGCATACAATGAGAACAACATTCTCCCTTCTCCTTCCATCCAAGGAGGTCAAAATGCTTGAGAAACATTGATCTAAGAGCCCCCCCACAACCAAATCCATAGAACACCCTAAAAATGGAAGTTCAGATCTAGACCTTTTGTCTAGCTTTTGGTCCTGGAATGGGCTGCTCCAAAACCACAAACCCAGCCAAACTTCTTCTGAAAAGGAGGATCTGGATTTGAACTTATGCAGCGTTGGCCAAGCTAAAATTACTTAATTTAGTCACTTCACTTCCCTGGGAAGTTAGTAAAAATTACCAAGCTCTGTTGTGAAGTGGGGTAAACAGAGAGGTTAAGTGACTTGCTCAAAATTGCACAGTGAGTCTGTGGCCAGGGCACTGAAAGAACCTAGGAATCCAGACTTCTGGTCTCCCTCCTCAAATCGCTAGACCACATTCCCTTTTCCTAATTACAGTAGCTAATTCTCACCACTTTCTAATATGGCACTCAGTGCGATAGAGAGACTGACTTAAACCTACAAAGACACAGAAGTTCAGAGCTACGGTTGCTACAACAGTGCCATGGTCTGTTGTACACATCACATTCCCAGTGTGCTTTGGAGAGAAGATGCTAAGAAATTCAGTTCTAAGGCACGATGTGTGATAAAGTGATATTAGCCAACTGCACTCTGAACTTCCATGCTTTGGCAGATTCAGTTCAGACAAGTGTTTAACAGTCTTCTGTATGTAATGCTAGCAAGCTCAAAATTACCTTAGTTGCCAGGGCTAATGACCAGTAGAACAAATGGAACCTACTAGGAGTCATGTCCTTATTTAAAAAAAATTACCCAGCATTTAACTTTTTGTATGAAATAAATTAGAACATATCTAACTAATCTACTGGGGGAAAATGCTGAAATTATTGAAGGCTGGGGCCAAACTCCAATACGATGGGGAGATGCTGCTAAATAGTCACTGCCCTAATAACAAAGTCCTGCAGGATTTAATGGAGAACAATATATTTTCTATGGGACTGATCAGTCATCCTACTGATTTCTAGAAAAATGACCTCATTTTGATGTGGTGCAAATCCAGGTTAATTTCACTGAAGTCAATGGAGTTAGCCCAGTAAAAAGTTGGTGAGAGTGTCAGGGGACAGATCCTAAATTCTCTATTAAATTCTCTATAGGATGGCTTAAAAAACAACTAGAGAAATGTTATTATTCACTGTTACATTCAGTAGGACTTTGCCATAAAGGTCAACCGAAATGCTGAGTTGGGAAGGGACATACCATTTTCAGGATTTACAGTAAGAGTCAATTTTCCATCTTCTTTAATTCTTCGCTCGGATCTAACCCATCTCATTTCATTTAATTCATTTTTCTTTTCAGTTTTGGGTGATGTAATTTTATTGAGCTCTTGTTAGAGACTGAAGGGGAAAGTGCCGCATTTTACTCTTTATTATTGTGAGAGACACCAAAATTCACAAAGGTTATTCTTCAAAATTGTAAGTTTGTTATTAATAGGGTCAATAAGCCCTGAAATGCTTCAGTTCTGGCTCTTAATTTGTTAAGTGCAGCTAAAGTTATTTTCTTTGATTACATCTGCAAATAAGATATTAATGTCAATGCAGTGATATGAAAATTGCTCCTTTCCCATGTAATTTGCACCTTAGTTATTATGGGTTTCATGAATAAGAATATTATAGCTGTACAAAATGAGTTGTGGATTTATAATGTATTTTTAATTAACAAAAAAACCACAACCGCCCCCCCCCCCAACAACAAACCCATTTTGCAACTGCATAGGTTTTTATTAACCCTGGTGCAAATTTTTAACTCTCTGAAGAGTGCATCAATACATCCCTTTTTTCCTGGAACTGTGACATCCCCCAATCATTCCTTTGCAATGACATTTCTCCACACAGAAAAAATTGTGTGATGAAACTGTAGGAGAAAAGCTGTCTGTTCCCCCCCCCCCCCTTTTGGGGGGGGGTAAATTACAGCTATTTACAACTTGAGATGAAAAATGAATCATTCCTGTTCCTGAAATGTCAGGTATTTGGAAAGCCCTAAATGCTGAAATATTAAACAATTCTCATAGCTTGCACTGTAACTCCAGCTCTGGTATGTTACCATCATCCCAGAATGCCTGAGCCTGTCTCAAGGTAGAATTCAATCCAATGGGAGTCTTTCCTTTGATGTCAGTGGAAACAAGATTCCATTGCTAAAGTACTTGTTTGGAAACAAGCAGTGCCCACTGGTTGCTACGTAACTGTCCAACTGCATTGGCCCCGGGTAGCCTAAGATCCTTTTGAGCATGCTTGTGGTGGCTAGCATTAGTCATTTTCTTTGAAGCCATTTTGAATTTCTTTTTAACCCTTTCCAGCCCCAACAATAATTAACATAACTTCTCAGTGACTTTATATTTCTAGTGTATCAAAAGGATATATGTATGTACGTGCGTGTGTGCAGGCTCACAACTTCAGTGATGGCTCATACATAAATGCCTAAGCATCTGAGAGTTGGAAGCATCCTTACTGAATAAATTTATGCAACAGCGAAATATAATATTATAAAGAAGAAAAAGTTATGAAACTGGAAGGGATTGGAGACAAGCGAGGGGATAAGAAAAAGATATGGCCCCTATGATTTAAGACAAATCTGTGTCCCTATGATTTAAAACGATACCTATATCAAGGCCCAGTGTCTCATGGTCAATGTCTGTATAGTTTGTCTTGTGATAACAATTACTCTGATTCTGGTCTTACACTTACATGCTGGTTTTACAATGGTGTAAGTCTAGTATTATGGAATCATGTCCGATATTTAGCTTCCCATTGACGTCAATGGGAGTAGGATCAGGCCCTCACACCAGAGTAAGAGGAGAATCGAGCCCAATCATCTCAATTTTAATGTGCTTCTTAGGAGAGGTGACTCAAATAGAGAAAAACTTAGAAACTATCCGCTTGTCCCCAGGCCTTCCAGCTTTACTTTTTCAATAAAAAACTTAGGTCCTAGGCAGGAAAGGAGTCATGCTAAATGGAAAGGTTGTGCAATTCCCCCAACAGGCAAATATTGGAGTGTGGTGGTAGACGCTCAAAGGTCAGTGCTGGCCTTAGCAGTGAGTGCCTGGATCCGAGCTGAGTTGCAGGTCTTGCAAAGGATGTGTCCATCCAGAGGGTAACAGCCCTGATTGTCCCCTTCAGACAGGAGACCACCACAGTCCTAGACAATAAACAGAATAAAGACCAAAAGAAGAAATAAGATGAGAGTGAAATTAGGCAAAGAACCTATTAGTGAAATACACACTCATGTCCCCTGGTAACAGAATTCTGCCCAAGTCAGCGTGTGAGTTCTAGGATGTCTTTCAATAGTGAACCATTCCCTGATAAGAGACAATGCTGCAGCGGAGACGGGTTCCCAAGCTCTCTAAAATAAAAGGAGATTATTCCCTTCCCATCTCTGGGAAAGGAAAGGTCTTTAGCATTGCGGAACACGTCAAACTTAAGCTCACGTTTATTAATGCCAAAAGGAAAAAGAAGAAGTGAGCCTTGAAAACAAGTTTGCTGCTCATACAGCTCCCTCTTTGGAAGAGAGAACTCCAGAAAGCGATGGAAGACACCACAGCGGTGACAGCAGAGCGATGTCCTTGCAGCACGCCTTCACCGCTGTGGCTATTACTACACGAGCACCAAAAGGCCACAACCGAGATTGGGGGGCCCATTGTGCTGCGTGCTTTAGAGACCTATAGTAAGAGACCGTCTCTGCCCCAAAGAGCTTGTAATCTAAATACACAAGATAAAGGATGGAAGAAAGGACAGAATGCCATCATCACCATCGGTCTTTTGTAAATGGAAGGCCAAGGCTCATGGTGATTAAGTGACTGCCCTAAGCTCACGCAGGAAGGTGATGGCAGAGCCACAAACCGAACTCAGACCCCTCGAGTCTCAGTCCGGCACTCGAGCCAGGACTGTGATCAGCACCATTACTGGGACTCACTTCTTGTCCCAATATCTGGCTGGAGTTTATCCCGGGGGAACAGCTGTATTGCAGAATTCTTGGAGGTTCAATATGCTACATGTACCGAGGTGATTTTTCCTCGGTTTCAGATTCTTATCAAAATCATATGTACCAGAACATAGCACAGCAAGGGCCATTCATGAATGAGAATGTTTATGTGCCAATTAAATTTTCCAGCTAATTATTAACTTCTTCTTTTTTTAACCCACTCATATAATCTTGCTTATATTGCAACATGCATTAGAGTTGATTTTAATAAAACAAATAGGAGCAACATGTGTGTCCAGGTAACAAACTACTATCTTCTCAAATATTCAGCTCTAGATATTGAGTTGTAGTCTCTTGCTAACACAATGAAGCCGGTATAAACAGAAGGCCTGATTCTCCTATTGTTTGCACCATCTATATGTAAAATCAGAAGTCACTTCTGCTGAAGTCAACAAAGTAAAGTTGAATGTAGAACCAGTATGATAACAGGAATGTGCTCGTTATTTATGTAACAGAAGGTCATTTCTGTCAATACAGTGAACCCAATCTTTGCTTTCTTCCCTTGCCAGTAGTGGGAATACTGACCTCACACCGGTAGCATTGGACATGGAAGTCACGATCTAATGCCACAATGCGTATGGTCTCCTCTTGACCCGGGGCAGGCATAATGGGCTCCTTACACACGGAACATCGCGGTGCAAATTTCCTTGAAAAGCAAAGATGGTTCCAGTCAAATGCCAAGTGCACAGCCATGTTCTTTGTATGCTACATTAGAAACTTAGAACCTACAGTGAACTGTGGCAAAACACACATATCTGCAAGCAGAGTTGCCTCCTTGAAGAGGACACATTAAGGGATGCTTATGAGTTCCGACAGAACAATGGCGGAGGCCTGAGAATCATATTCTGCTTGTCTTAATCACTTATTAAACAATCTCTCGATGATGTTGCTCATCATTGGGGTATCCAAGTGCAAGCCCCAGAGTGAGCTAGTTTCATATGCCTAATATAACACCATTTAAATCAGTGGAATTCCTCTTATGAATGAAGTTAGCAGGATTTGCCCCACCTGTCTCTGTTGAAAAATATCAATATGCTAGAAACTAGAGATGGACCAAGTAGGATGCAGCCTTAGATCCTGCCACCGCAGGATTGTTCTCTGCAGTATAATTTCCTTGGGTTTTATCCAGTCTTGTTTTAAAATCCCCAAGCATCTGGCTCCCACTACACCCACAGGATGTTAGTTTTAGCTGGGCTCAATCTGTGCGTCGCAAAGAGAACTGCTCGAGCGTATCTGATGGGTTATATCGCTCAACTACGTGATTTGCATCCACACTCTGGCAGCCACAGGTAAAACCACTTAGCCTTGCTTCCACAGTTATTCATTGGGTGTGTGCAAAAATACAGGTGCAAATGCTGTGAATGCAAATTCTCCCCACAGTAGAAAGCCGCCCTTCTGAAAACCTATCCCTCAGAACATACACTGGCTAATAACTAAGAAGCTTAGAATTAGGGTCAATGGGAAACCTTATGGCAAGTGCCAGAATATGAAGAGATCAAAGATTCTTCTCTTGTAAAATATCGAGGAACCAGTGACTCTGCCACCCAGCCTTTTAGACAAACTACCCTAGAATTAACTCAATTAAAAAACATCTTAGCTGTAGTAGGAGTAAAAAAAAGCATTCATTTCGCTGGCAGCAGATGCAAGGCGTTTTGTTAGATTGCAGCTTCGCAGACATGAATTAAACAGCACCTTTGCTGATTACTCTGAAAGTGAATTTAAATGGATCATGATATGACCGTAGCTGTAATGACAGTTAATAATGTGGGGATTCCGGCACTTTCTTGTGCAATTCAGCTACAATGGGCTGCTTAAAAATGCTTGAATGTTTCTCTATCTAGGTCACCAGAGGCAAAACAGCATGGGCCATTTTTTCTCTCGAGAGACTTAGAAATGACTCCCACTGAATTCAGTGGAAGCTGTATGTGTTTCCTAGGGCAGCATCTAGCCAATCACGTCTTGCAGGTGGATTTCACATTCTCTATTTGCTCCTCACCTTTCAGGATAAGAACCCCAATAGCAGTTTCAAACGGCCAATAGATCTGGTTGGAATTCTTTTTTAAATCTTTTTCACTAAAAAAACTGATTTTTTTCCCCCTAAAAAAAAACTTTCACTAATTTTCTTTTTGACCACAAAGTGAAAAACAAACACAATTTTTGTTTTTCTCTCCTTCCAGGCGGCGCTTACCTCAAGCAGCTCCCAGAAACAGCAGCATGTGCCTCCTCCGGCCCCTATGTGGAGGCGCGGCCAGGAGGGTCAGCATGCTGCCCTGTTTGCAGGCACCGCCCCTGCAGCTCCCATTGGCTGCGGTTCCCAGCCAATGGGAGCTGCAGGGGCGACACTTGGGGTGGGGCAGCATGCGAAGCCCCATGGCTGCCCCTATGCGTAGGAGCCAGAGGGGGGTCATGCGCTGCTTCCAGGAGACGTGTGGAGTGGGGCAAGACCCTGACCCCGTTCTCTGGCTGGAGCAGGGCAAGCCCTAGACCCTGCTTTCCGGCGGGAGCTCAAGGGCTGGATTAAAATGTTGGAGGGCTAGATGTGGCCCTCGGGCCATAGTTTGCCCACCCCTGCTGTAGGGTGATACAGGGAGGTAAAATTAAACAAAGAGAAACTGAGAACAATGGATACATTTTCTTAATAATTAGACACAGTAGGCTGTGGAGCAGTAACCCAAGAGAAGCGATGGAAGTTTCATTACTTGCATCAACTAAAACTGGGTGAAAGAACTGCTGAATATACTTCTGGATACAGACTTTGTACTGGTTGTAGATGGACTCAGTAGCCCAACTAGGTCTTCTGCAATCCCCTGGATCTTCTCCCAGCCTTGTACCCAACCAGCTCAGGTCGTTTCCCTATGCCGTCTATTCTCAGAGAGTGAAATTCATCCATGGGTTGAGGAGCAGTATGAGGCTGAGGCACCATTTAACCCTCCAAGCCGGAAGGTACTTAGTTCTTCCTAAAGGATGCCAATCCCTCTCAAGGAGGAGGAACATCCTGCATATATCGACCCGTGGCACGTAAGTGCCACCGCCTTGGCTTTCTGCTGGCCCTCTGTGCAAGGGTGAATTTCACCCTCTGGGCCCTGCCTCTGGATTCTTGCTGAGATGCACACAGAGGGAGAGGGAACACACAGCGGCCTTTGCAGCTGCCAATTACACAGCTGTGTCTCAGCTTCAGGGAGCCTTCCTGTCAGATTTCAGAGTAGCAGCCGTGTCAGTCTGTATCCGCAAAAAGAACAGGAGGACTTGTGGCACCTTAGAGACGAACAAATTTATTTGAGCGTAAGCTTTTGTGAGCTACAGCTCACTTCATCGGATGCATAGAATGGAACATAGAGTAAGAAATATATACACACACGGTGGCAAATTGCCGGCACTACTATGATGGGTCTCGGGCTCTCTCTTCTTGCGGGGGCTGGTTCAGGGCACCATTTCTTACCCCTAAACTGGGGTATTAACTGCCCCACTAGTGTCCTAGAGGAGGGGAGTGGAGAGGGAGGGACCCAGGCCCACCCTCTACTCCGGGTCCCAGCCCAGGGGCCCTAGGGATAGCGGCAAACCACTAGAACTAGCGGTTTCTTCCCCTGGGCTACTTCCCTTTCCTGCCCTTCAGCTTGTGCCTTCCCAAGCTGCCCTTCAGCTTCCCTTCCTGCCCTCCCTCTGCACAAACCAGGTGTCACTTTACCTAGGGCCTTGGTCTTCTTAGCCCACCGCAGCACTTCTCCAAACTCTCCTCTGCTTCCCTCCAAACTGCTCTCTGCTTCAACGCCAATCCGCTCTGCTTCAACTCCTCCAAACTGCTCTCTGCTCCAGCACCAACCCACTCTGCTTCGACTCCTCCAAACTGCTCTCTGCTCCAGCACCAACCCACTCTGCTTCGACTCCTCCAAACTGCTCTCTGCTCCACCGCCAATCCGCTCTGCTTCAACTTCTCCAAACTGCTCTCTGCTCCAGCACCAACCCGCTCTGCTTCGACTCCTCCAAACTGCTCTCTGCTCCAACGCCAACCCACTCTGCTTCAACTCCTCCAAACTGCTCTCTGCTCCACCGCCAATCCGCTCTGCTTCAACTCCTCCAAACTGCTCTCTGCTCCAGCACCAACCCACTCTGCTTCAACTCCTCCAAACTGCTCTCTGCTCCACCGCCAACCCGCTCTGCTTCAACTTCTCCAAACTGCTCTCTGCTCCAACGCCAACCCACTCTGCTTCGACTCCTCCAAACTGCTCTCTGCTCCAGCACCAACCCGCTCTGCTTCAACTCCTGCAAACTGCTCTCTGCTCCAGCACCAACCCACTCTGCTTCAACTCCTCCAAACTGCTCTCTGCTCCACTGCCAACCCGCTCTGCTTCAACTCCTCCAAACTGCTCTCTGCTCCACCGCCAACCCACTCTGCTTCGACTCCTCCAAACTGCTCTCTGCTCCAACGCCAACCCACTCTGCTTCGACTCCTCCAAACTGCTCTCTGCTCCACCGCCAATCCGCTCTGCTTCAACTCCTCCAAACTGCTCTCTGCTCCACCGCCAACCCACTCTGCTTCGACTCCTCCAAACTGCTCTCTGCTCCACTGCCAACCCACTCTGCTTCGACTCCTCCAAACTGCTCTCTGCTCCAACGCCAACCCACTCTGCTTCGACTCCTCCAAACTGCTCTCTGCTCCAACGCCAACCCACTCTGCTTCGACTCCTCCAAACTGCTCTCTGCTCCAGCACCAACCCGCTCTGCTTCAACTCCTGCAAACTGCTCTCTGCTCCAGCACCAACCCACTCTGCTTCAACTCCTCCAAACTGCTCTCTGCTCCACTGCCAACCCACTCTGCTTCGACTCCTCCAAACTGCTCTCTGCTCCAACGCCAACCCACTCTGCTTCGACTCCTCCAAACTGCTCTCTGCTCCAACGCCAACCCACTCTGCTTCGACTCCTCCAAACTGCTCTCTGCTCCAACGCCAACCCACTCTGCTTCGACTCCTCCAAACTGCTCTCTGCTCCACCGCCAACCAGCTCTGCTTCAACTTCTCCAAACTGCTCTCTGCTCCACCGCCAACCCACTCTGCTTCGACTCCTCCAAACTGCTCTCTGCTCCACCGCCAACCCACTCTGCTTCGACTCCTCCAAACTGCTCTCTGCTCCAACGCCAACCCACTCTGCTTCGACTCCTCCAAACTGCTCTCTGCTCCACCGCCAACCCACTCTGCTTCGACTCCTCCAAACTGCTCTCTGCTCCACCGCCAATCCGCTCTGCTTCGACTCCTCCAAACTGCTCTCTGCTCCAGCACCAACCCACTCTGCTTCGACTCCTCCAAACTGCTCTCTGCTCCACCGCCAATCCGCTCTGCTTCGACTCCTCCAAACTGCTCTCTGCTCCACCGCCAACCCCCTCTGCTTCAACTCCTCCAAACTGCCCTCTGCTCCACCGCCAACCCCCTCTGCTTCGACTCCTCCAAACTGCTCTCTGCTCCACCGCCAACCCCCTCTGCTTCAACTCCTCCAAACTGCTCTCTGCTCCACCGCCAATCCGCTCTGCTTCGACTCCTCCAAACTGCTCTCTGCTCCACCGCCAACCCGCTCTGCTTCGACTCCTCCAAACTGCTCTCTGCTCCAACGCCAACCCACTCTGCTTCGACTCCTCCAAACTGCTCTCTGCTCCACCGCCAATCCGCTCTGCTTCGACTCCTCCAAACTGCTCTCTGCTCCACCGCCAATCCGCTCTGCTTCGACTCCTCCAAACTGCTCTCTGCTCCAACGCCAACCCACTCTGCTTCGACTCCTCCAAACTGCTCTCTGCTCCAGCACCAACCCGCTCTGCTTCGACTCCTCCAAACTGCCCTCTGGTCCAGCACCAACCCACTCTGCTTCGACTCCTCCAAACTGCTCTCTGCTCCAGCACCAACCCACTCTGCTTCGACTCCTCCAAACTGCTCTCTGCTCCAGCACCAACCCACTCTGCTTCGACTCCTCCAAACTGCCCTCTGGTCCAGCACCAACCCACTCTGCTTCGACTCCTCCAAACTGCTCTCTGCTCCACCGCCAACCCACTCTGCTTCGACTCCTGCAAACTGCTCTCTGCTCCAACGCCAACCCACTCTGCTTCGACTCCTCCAAACTGCTCTCTGCTCCAACGCCAACCCACTCTGCTTCGACTCCTCCAAACTGCTCTCTGCTCCACCGCCAACCCGCTCTGCTTCGACTCCTCCAAACTGCTCTCTGCTCCACCGCCAACCCCCTCTGCTTCGACTCCTCCAAACTGCTCTCTGCTCCACCGCCAACCCGCTCTGCTTCGACTCCTCCAAACTGCTCTCTGCTCCACCGCCAACCCGCTCTGCTTCGACTCCTCCAAACTGCTCTCTGCTCCACCGCCAATCCGCTCTGCTTCGACTCCTCCAAACTGCTCTCTGCTCCACCGCCAACCCGCTCTGCTTCGACTCCTCCAAACTGCTCTCTGCTCCACCGCCAATCCGCTCTGCTTCGACTCCTCCAAACTGCTCTCTGCTCCAGCACCAACCCACTCTGCTTCGGCTCCTCCAAACTGCTCTCTGCTCCAGCACCAACCCACTCTGCTTCGACTCCTCCAAACTGCTCTCTGCTCCAGCACCAACCCACTCTGCTTCGGCTCCTCCAAACTGCTCTCTGCTCCAGCACCAATCCGCTCTGCTTCGACTCCTCCAAACTGCTCTCTGCTCCAGCACCAACCCACTCTGCTTCGGCTCCTCCAAACTGCTCTCTGCTCCAGCACCAACCCACTCTGCTTCAACTCCTTCTCCTGTCTGATTGGAGCAGGGGGGTTTTATCAGGTGACTGGCTTCAGGTGCTCTAATTGGCTTCAGGTGCTTTAATTAATCTATAGCAAATTTTCTTCCCTCTACAGGGAATAAGGCTCCTTCTAACACTCTCCTGCTGCTCTCTGGCCATGCTGTATCACAGTACATACAGATAAGTTGGAAGTTGCCATACAAACTGTGAGAGGCTAATTGGTTAAGATGAGCTATTATCAGCAGGAGAAAAAGAACTTTTGTAGTGATAATCAAGATGGCCCATTTAGATAGTTGACAACAAGAAGGTGGGAGGATACTTAACATGGGGAAATAGATTCAATATGTGTAACGACCCAGCCACTCCAAGTCTCCATTCAAACCCAAGTTAATGGGATCTAGTTTGCATAGCTGAGCTTGAATTAATATGCAAACGAGATACCAGTAACTTGGGTTTGAATAGAGACTGGGAGTGGCTGGGTCATTACACCTATTGAATCTATTTCCTTAAGCTAAGTATCCTCACACCTTCTTGTCAACTGTCTAAATGGGCCATCTTGATTATCACTACAAAAGTTTTTTTTCTCCTGCTGATAATAGCTCATCTTAACTAATTAGCCTCTCACTGTTTGTATGGTAACTTATCGGTATGTATATCTATCTATCTTACTCTATGTTCCATTCTATGCATCCGATGAAGTGGGCTGTAGCCCACGAAAGCTTATGCTCTAATAAATTTGTTAGTCTCTAGTTAAGGTGCCACAAGTCCTTCTGTTCTTTTTTCTGTCAGAGTTTAACCTTCTCCCGCATGGCGGCTGCAATTCCTTTTGTCAGGTAAGTCTGCTGCTCTGAGCTCCCAGGCCCACACACTGATGTCATGAGTCTAATTAAGTCTGCCCCCTTAGAAATTAAAAGATAAGTGCTTGAGATATAAACCCACATTAGTCAGTATTGATTTCCTCTTTTAATTGAGGGGTGTACCGTGCCTGTCTCTTCCAAGCTGGGGAAACATTTGTGCTTTGATTATATCTACTGATCTGTCTTTCTCAGATCAGCTGTGATAAGGGGAGGGGTGGGGGGAGCGACAGAAGCTACCTCCTGTCATGGATTGCAGTGCACTTTAAATAGATATTTGACTACAAATTATTATTAGGAATGTTTTCCTAGCTCCTTTAAAGGCTAACTAGCAGATGGAAACAGAGGAGGCAGGAAACCCCGCTGTGCTCTGAGGGCTATTAGCAGGGTACTGAGCACAGGATGAGAACCTTGGCTTCAAGGCAATAGCTAAGTGGCGGTAGGAGGCCAGGTGGGGGGGGGGGTGAGGGGAGGAGGAAGGATAGGGAAGCGCAGGGGTGCAGCAAGGAACATGAAATACCTACATCATGCAGTCCGCACATAGGGCAGGTGGGGAACATAATCTGTTAAAAAAGATCTGTGAGCACTGAGACAACCCTCGCCGGCAGGGAGACGGATGTAAGACAAATCCACACAACTACCCCCAGTCAATTAAGCTGGAATGCCAGAGGGTGTGCCTGCCGGCTCCCTGGCCTCCGGGGAATCTCAGGAAGAATTTACAGCAGGTCAGGAGCCTGCCTAGGTAACATGAGAAGAGACTGTAGGCCTCCAGGGCCAGGAAAAGCCAAGAAGAGCCGCCTGGGCCATACTTGTGGAAATCCTCGATGCAGTGAATGTTCCCACCGGCATCCACAGTGAAGGGGATGCCATCCAGGCTGCGGTGGCACATCACACAGGTGAAGCAGTGGGGGTGGTAGGCTTTCCCCGTGGCTCGCAGGATCCTCTCCATGATGGGTTTGGCACAGACGCTGCACTGCTCCAGTGTGTTCTGTAAGCAAAAAAAAAAAACAACTGGCGTGAGTATCAGTTCAGACATTGGCCCAGGCTGGGATTGCAGCTGGTCTGCAAGGAAACGTGAGGCCCTTTCGTTTCACCCATTCGCTGCGAGCGGGGTATAGCCAGCTGTCAGTTCCGGACCAGCTCGGAATCCAGCCCGGCTGCTGCCAACACCACGTATGGAACACCAGGCAGCCCGGTCACTGGGGAGAACTGCAGGGTCCCATCTGCAGCCAGCCGCCCCAGCAGAGAACCCTGCTTAGGATTCATTGCAGGCGGACCCTGGCTTTTCTCTTCTGTGAGGGATGCTAGCACAGACCCTGGGAGGAGACAACCCAGTAAATGCATCCCCTCAGTACTGCAATACAGGCAGCACAAGGGATGGGGATTCAGGAGCACATAACCAGCTAGGTGAGCCGAGTGCTTATTTTGAGTCAGAGTTTAAGGCCAGAAGGCACCGCCAGGTCATCTAGTCTGACTTCCCGTGTCTCACACCCAGCACCCGCACACTAAACCCAATAACTGGAATTAGACCAAAGCATAACAGCTCACAGGAGACTTGACTATGATGTGCCACAGGCAGAGAATAGGAGGGTCCGAGACTCACCGAGTTCTTGAGGATCCCGCAAAGGCAGGAAAATGCGTAAGTGATATATAACCAGACGATCCTGACAAGTGACCCGCACCCACATGCTGCAGAGGAAGATGAACTCCCCCAAGGTCACTGCCAGTCTGACCAGGGGGAAAATTCCTTCCCAACCCCACACAGTTCCACCCTGAGTATGTGAGAAAGAACCAACCTGAGAGAGAGAACGCAGGGTGTCACCTCAGATCCCTGGCCCACCCCATCCAATGTCCCATCTCCAGCTGTGGCCATCTCTGATGCTTCAGAAGAAGGAGACCAAAAAAATCTCCCAGAATACACTGGGGGACAAAAATCCCTTCCTGACCCCTGCAGGTGACCAGCGGAAGCCCTGAAGCACGAGCTTTAAGGAACATGAGACGTAAAGCCCCAGGGTTGCCCTTTACTGTCACAAGCAACCCCGTCATACAACCACACCCATACATTTACCCTCTCTCTTAAAATTCATTAAGTTTTCTGTTTGTTCCAGAACCTCACCCCTCTTAGAAACCTTCTTCTAGTTTCCAGCCTGAATTTGCTCATGGCCAGTTTATGCCATTTGTTCTTGTGCAACATGGTCCTTTAGTTTAGATAGCTCTTCACCCCCTTGGTGTTTACACCCTAGGGCAGAGGTTCTCAAATGGTGGGCCGCAAGCTCCGTGCAGGTGGTCTGCGGATAGTTCCCTCCAAGGTGCGCGCCTGGACGGCCGCACACGAGGGAATGAAGGGCCACCCACCTAATTAGTAGAGCCACGCAGGCTCCACTAATTAGGTGCCTGGACCCTGGAGAAGATGCACATATAAGGTGAGGTGGTGGCCTTGGGGGGAACAGGGGTAGGTGGGAGGGAGCAGCGGGGTGACAAGAGGGGGTGGGGGGAATTTGGGACGGGCAGGGCTGGAGGAGGGGCCTAGTGTGTTTATGTAGGTTCATCTTTCTTGAACACGGCTGTCCAAAACTGGACATAGTATTCTAGATGAGGTCTTACCAGAGCCTGGTACAATGGCATTAATACCGCTCTATCTTTACTGGAAATGCCTCACCAGGTACATTCTAGGATCGCATTGCCCTTGTCACAGCCACATCCTACTCGTCTGAGGATCAACCTCCATCTTCAGTGCAGGCCCTTGCACTTTGTACTACTGAATTTCATGCCATTCTGACATGCCAGTCTTCAAGGTCATCCAGATCTTCCTACATAATATTTCCATCCACTTCTGTATTGACGATGCCTCCCCAACGTTGTATCATCAGCAAATTTCATTAGCAAACCCCTACTTTTTTGTGAAAAGAGCATTAATAAAAACATTGAATAAGATTGGCCCCAAGACCAATCCTTGAACTCCACCAGAGATCCAGAGAGTTCGCCTTTACACACAACCTGTTGCCTTCTCCCCTTTAGCCAGTTCCTTTACCCACCTTACAGTTCTTGTACGAATTCCCAGGCCATAATTTTCCATGTGGTACCATCCCAAATTTGTCTTCTGCCCCAGTCATTTCAGTTCAGATGGCTCTAAATAACCGTATTAAAGGCTGTGCGTCACCTGTCTTGGTTTACTTGCGGCACCTTAGAGACTAACCAATTTATTTGAGCATAAGCTTTCGTGAGCTACAGCTCACTTCATCGGATGCATACTGTGGAAAGTGTAGAAGATCTTTTTATTTACACACAAAGCATGAAAAAATACCTCCTCCCACCCCACTCTCCTGCTGGTAATAGCTTATCTCTGAAACCTGTCTTGGTTTGTAGATTTTATGTATTGAACCAGATGCATGGTTGGGAGCACTGAAGCTATAAAGTGCTTTTCATTTCAAGGAGGCTCAGCTGAAAGATCCATCTCCCCCCCTCCCCGCAAGCATGTTATGTAAACACCGATATAAATCAGCTTCTAATGACTGTTTGTGCCAGGCGCGTCAGCCCTCTCAACGGTGGCTTGCATGACTACAGTATGTGAAACTTGCCTTTGCAAACCAAACACCTGAAATATGCATGCCACAAAGAGAGGTGCATTCCACACAGACAGATGCAAATGCTGAATCTGTGAAGAAGCTCAGATGGTTTATTTTGCTGGAGTTTGGGACAGAATTCTACTTGCTAACCTTGCTGGAACTGTTTTGAGTTATCAAATAAGAGCCATATGTTCACATCCTGGATGGTGAAGCACAGATGCAGGGAGGTCTGTGATCTTTGGGATAAACAGAAAAGAAAGAAAAGAGAAAAAATCCAACAGAAAGAGAATTATAAAACCCCACAGATCAATATTTTCATGTTGACCAACACCACATGGAGCCTACAGACTTCCTCCTGCATTCCTTGTGCACCCAAAACTCCCAGTGGAAACTGCCAGCTGAAAGACTGCCCTGTTATTGCTTGTCTGAGCCAAGAATGTCAATGGGCAAGCCCCTTCTCCTTACACATAGTGCAGAAGTACGCATGAAGGACATGAATCACCAAAGACTTCAAAGAGGTCAGGCCTATACTGCAACGTACGTCACTGGACATTGCTTCCTGGGCGGCAATTGACTGGTAAGACACACACGGAGCTACATCTTGCAACTCGCTTTTCCTGCAATGCCCAGAAGAGCCACAGGATTATTTTTGGAAGAGTCAGTATGATACATCCTTGATTTCAACCGATTGTGAGAACTGCCTACTTGTGCTGTGAAAAGGACTCGGTCTGACCTGGGGGCTCGTTCCTGGCAGGATTTAGCTTCAGGTACTGGATACTTGTAATAACGGAGGTGGAAGAATTGTTCCTGGGCTTTTTGTTTGTTTTCTATCATCATCATGATGACAGTGACTGATGTACCAGAGAGAACAAGGCCTTACATAAACAGATAATGTGTAGGCATCCGATGAAGTGAGCTTTAGCTCACGAAAGCTCATGCTCAAATAAATTGGTTAGTCTCTAAGGTGCCACAAGTACTCCTTTTCTTTTTTAGATAATGTTACTGCAGCATTTGCTCCGTTCCCCTATATTTACAACAGGGAATGCTACAATCCTGCCAGTTGAGGAACATTATGCAACTAGCTAAGGAATTTTCCTGGGTAACTGCCTAATAGTTGGGCTTGGCCACTATATGTATCACTAACTCGTTATCTGGTTGTTACTGTTTTTCTTATGGCCTCATTCAAAATACTTCCCATTCCATATGCTTTATTAAAAAAGGAAACTCTGGAGAGGCACGGGATATGTGGGATCAGGCCTTCGGTTTAGCAGAAGCTGACGGTTCCCTACTGAAATTCACTCATAAGGAGTAAAATGAAGCAATTAGCTGGGGCTGGATAGAGGAAACAAATTCCTCAGTAACAGAAGTGAGCAAACTTGAAGATGACAATAACAATACCTGGCTTTTATATCTCATTTTCCATCAGTAGATCTCAAGGCTTTTTATAAATGAGACTGACATCTTGTCACAAAGCATCTACTCCCAAGGCAGCGGAAGAGCACACAATTAGTATTTGTAACTTTACTGCTAAAGGGCCCACACAGAAATAAAATAAAACAAAGTAAATAAAAATAAAAGCACAACCCAGTCATTTCGTGATTCCCCTTTTATTGATTTCTTGTAACCAATATTTTAACCGAAATAGATAGATATGTCAGGCATGACCCATTTTCGCTTTAAACAGTCCATGTCATGGAGCCATAGAATGATAAAAACAGCAAAACAGAACAGGAACTTCCTGAAGTGAATTGCAACTGAATAGAGCAATAGTGAGTAAATGGAATGCCTGCTTGCGAACACTAGCGGGAGCATGACACAGGAGGGATGTGAACAAGCCACCCCACAAGCAGCTCTAAACAGAAAATGGGGCTGTCGGCATGGAGCTATGTGCAGGAGTGGGGTCTTTCGTATTATTATTTTTATCATTATTATTATTATTTTTATCAGTGGCCCAGTCTGGAGCGAGACTCCATTGTGCTGGGTGCTGTACAGACACGTAGGATGATACAATTCTTGCCGTGAAGAGTTCACCATCTAAAGTCCCAATGCTACAAGGACTTTGGTGCATACCTGATATTTTTAGAGAGCTCTGTCTAGAGGCTGCGGCCACAGGCCAGATCTAACTCCTATTTATAGATCTGAAGGCCATGAGGGACCCTGGTGACAATTTAATCTGACTTTCTGCAGCACACGGGCCTTAGTGAAGTTTGACTGGGAGCCCAAGCCAGCAAATAAACATGCTGTTGCCACTGGATGGTGCTTCCCTAGTCTGCATGCCTTCTGCCCGCCAACCTCAGCTCCGTTACAGTTCAGTCACCTCCTGATGTTGACGCATCTGAGTGAGACAAGCATTTTAATTTCCCTTCTGTTGATTAATCCCTTCCACACTTGAAAATTAATCCTAGGGGATTTAGTCCTCTTA